TATCGTTTTACATAAAATAAAAAAAACACGGAAACTCGAAGAGGATGGCAAGATCCTGTCACCGAGAACCGTTTAACAATGCGATACAAAATAAATAAAAACAAAATACCGATATTTACAATACAAGATTTTTAATAAGCCAAAACCAAACATAAAATACCGTTAAAAAATGTCAAAATATGTAATAAAACTAAATATTTAAATAAAATATTCAAAAAAACTCGAAGATGTTATCAATTGTCAAAATAATTTTTTTCAGTTTATTTTAGAAAAATCAAAGTTTTTTAAAACTATTTGGTTCCACAGAAAAGCTCCGCGATATGATATAAGGGATCTTCCAAAATTTGTGTGCGAATAATGTTGATGAATAAGATTGTCATTTCTTAATTCATATTTGTTTCTTGGCTTTATTTCATATAAATTTTGAAAAAATATTGGGGTTAAGTTTATCTTACATTTGTACATAAAGCAAAGAACATTAAAAACATTTAGTTAATATATATTAAGAATATTCATGTCTATTAAAAGAGGTTTTGCATGAGTATAACGATCTTTAAAATTTATTAGACGTGCTAGATGCTTCTGTTGCCGATAAAGAGGTTCTAATTGACTATTATTAGCACTACCCCACGCAATGTTAGCATAGTTTACATGACATTGGATGAGCGAGTAATAAAGTTGAATTAATGCACGTCTATTTACAAAATTTCTCGCTTTATACAACACTCCAATATTTTTTGAGACTTTATTGCATAACGTTTCGATATGATTTTTCCATGTTAAGTTTTCATCAATGAAAACACAAAGGAAATGTATAACTTTTGATTGCTTTATTTGAACATTGTCAATATATATTTGAGGCATATCATTTGGTAAAAGTTTTTTTTTGGATTTAGGATGAAATAGAGTACATTGAGTTTTTTCTAAGTTAATTGATAATTTATTTGTCTTAAACCAATTTGAAATTTTAACTAACTCTATGTTTATGTCATTAAAAAGTGTAACAATATCACTACTGGACAGAAAAAGGTTAGTGTCATCGGCAAACATCACTGTCGTTAAATTTGAGGCATTGTGCAGATCATTAACATAGACGAGAAAAAGATGTGGCCCCAGCATAGACCCCTGTGGAACGCCACATGTTATATCTAGCAAATTTGTAGAGGAGGATACATCAATTTGCACAAACTGTTTACGATTGCTTAAATAGCTTTTTAGCAAATTTAGAAAATTTCCGCTGATTCCATAGTTTTTAAGTTTTTGAATAAGAATCTCATGATCTATCGTATCAAAAGCTTTTGATAGATCAATGAAAACGCCAAGAGTAAATTGTGATTTTTTAAACGAAACTGCAATATTTCTAGTTAAATGAAGTATTGCGTGTTCAGTGGAATTATTATTTTTAAATCCGTATTGACTGGTATTTAATATTTTATTTTTAGAAAGATGATCATATATTTTATTGTAAAGAATCCTTTCAAATACTTTTGAAAAACCAGAGAGTACAGAAATTGGACGATAATTAGTTATATTTGATAGTTCCCCTCCTTTAAAAATTGGTGAAACTTTGGCGATCTTTAGTTGGTCTGGAAATATCCCCTGTTTTATTAAACAACTAAACACTTGGAAAAGAATAGTTTTTATGTTCTCATAAGATGCAATTAAAATGTTACTATTTATTCCGTCCGGGCCTTTTGCTTTATTGGTTTTTAGCATTTTGTAAGCACATTCAAATTCTTTCATGGAAGTTTCAAAATTATTTAGTACGAAGTGTAAAATAATTTGTTGAGTTAGTTATAATTGGAATATTTTTAGCTAAGTTTGGACCAACAGTTATAAAATAGTTATTTATCTGATTTGCTATATCTTTTGGATTATTTAAAAAAACATCATTGTTTTTAATAACTTTTGGCAAGTTGCTTGTTTTACTCTTATAGTTGCCAGTAAGTTCATTTAAAATTTGCCACGTGCGCTTTGAGTTATTTTTAAACTTCTCTAGTAAGTTTAAGTAGTACTTTTTTTTTAAGTTTTTTCTTTGACATTCAAAATGCTTCACGTAAGTTTTATAAATCTCCTTATTTTTTTCAGTTTTGGACTTTAAATACTTTATATATAATTTTTGTTTAAAATTTGACGATTTTCTAAGTTCTTTTGTAATCCATGGTGACTTAATACTTTTTTTTGTAAGACTTACTTCGTATTGAGGAAAGTTTGCGTCATAAACTTCAAAAAATGTTTTAAAGAACGAGTTATAAACTAGATTTGCTTCAGATGAGAAATTTATATGTTTCCAGTGTAGTAATGATAGTTGTTCATTAAACGACATTAAATTTGCTTCACTGAAACATCGTTTAAAGAAAACTTGATTTGTTATCGATACTAACTCAATGTCAATATTTATTGAGAAAAAAATCGGAAAATGATCAGAAACATCACTTTTAATTAAACCTTTTTTGATGGATTCATTAAAAGTATCCGTTGTCATAATGTTGTCTATTAAGGAAGCAGAATTTGAAGTTACCCTTGTTGGTTTATTGATTAACGGAATTGCGCCGTTTTCAAATAAATCGTTGTAAAACCCATTTATTTTGTAATTTACATGATAATTGAATGCGTTTAAATTTATGTCACCAATTATGTAGTTTAATTTCTTTTCTACTATAGTTTTTTTTATTATATCGGTAATTAAAAATGACTTAAAACTATTTATTTCACCAGATGGTGGGCAATAACAGCAACTTATAATTATATTTTTGTTTTTTTTGGCTAAGATTTCTATTGTTAAAACCTCTATATCGGCATCAGAAATACTCATATCAGGCCTATTTATAAACCGCATTTCTTTGCGCACATAAAAAAGTACTCCACCTCCTCGTTTTTTAGTCTTGCGTGCTAAAGGTACAAGATAAAAACCCGGAAGATGGAGGTTTGAGTTAGATTTTGCCTCATCGGAGCTACACCAAGTTTCCGTTATATATATAATGTTAAAAATGTTTAAAGCTTCCTCAATATTATTCCTAAAAGATTCAAAACTCTTTTTTAAGCTTCTTATGTTAAAGTGTATTACATTTAAGTGATCTCGTTCAAGAAATTCCTTTAGCTCATTGTTATAAAAATAGGAGCAATTGTTTAACAAAGCACCTGCTTCACTAAAATAAATTGAACCAGGATCAGTATCTTTGTTTATAACAAATTTATTTGTTTGAAAAAAATTAAAAGAATTCAACTCAAAATTGTTTAGTAGTTTTGAGTTCATTTTTGTATTTTAAGATATAGAGCTTAAAGAATTTCATTGTGAATTTAAGCATGAAATGAATGTATAATAGACATTCATTTTATGCAAATAAATTTATACAATGAAAGAAAATTCTCGTCAAATATTAAAAATCAAAAAATCAAAATAAATTTATACTTGGCAATCTTTTGTGTCAATTTTCTTTTCAGACCATTCGCGCACGATTAGCTTGTCGTAAGAGATAAACGCATATTTTCACAGTTCTCGCTGCTTAAACATTTCATTCTTCAAGTATTTTCTTATCTGAACAGTTTCAAAACAAAAGTCCTCATTTATGTAAATATTCATACCTTTTAATTTCACTGATCTCTATATTATAATGAAGACAGACAGTGCTCATGCATTATAATGGTTAATGGAGTATACATTAAAGCAACTGTCACATTTCATAGCGGAAAAGTCTATGGTCAGGATAACCCAGAGAAGTTTGCCAGAACACTCCTTGGTGTAATGGTTAAATCCTTATTTGCAGGACCTACATGTATTGTAAGTATAGTACCGGTGTCTAATTTGGATTCCGATTTCCAATACAGTGTTGTTAGTAATGTAATTGAATTTATTGAACAACCCAGTGGAAAAGTCATTTCCGTAATTTACGATTACAATCAAGTAAATAGACATTTTGAAAATATTTCTGATACCATTCCTAATAAACCATGAAGAACTAAAACAAATATATTTTTGTTATATGATTATGTCCACATATTAAAGAATATACGTAACAATTGGCTAACCGAGAAGACTAAAGAGATTACATTTGGTGAAGCTAACGAGTTAATTGCTGATTGGAAAAATCTCGAGAAACTAAGGTTGTAAGAATTAAATTTGCTTATTACATTATCTTATCTAAATGAGTCAGCCATATCTCCAAAAGCTTGCAGACAGCAAAATGGGGTGTATTAGTATAACTACTAATACACGCCATTTTGCTTTCTTGTTTCATAGTCGATCATTCTTGAGGTGGATGTCTTCGACAGCTAATAGAAGACTTTGACGAGTCTATGAAACAAGACAGCGAAATGGAGTGTATTAGTATTGCTGGATACAATGTTCACAAAACCAAAATTGATAATGTTGAAGATACTTTTATTTATTATGAAATGTATGGCAGTTACTTGAAAGAACTAAATAGGGGAGGTTAAAAGGTTCCTGATGATTCTCTGCGACATTGGGTGTTTTTCTGTTACATTTTATTTATGAAACTAGATTTTTATGTCGTGGTTTGTCAAAAATCACGACATAAAAATATTGAGGCTGAAATTAGAATAAAAAGATTTTTTTTAATGAGAAAAAAATTAATAAGACTTATTTAATATGATATATTTATTTTGTGTTTTTTTTCCCCCGGAAAAAAAGTGTTTTTAATCAGTCTTTCGGTTCGATTGCGCGATTGCAAGGCCTGTTGTTACGATAGCCTTGTATTGGAGTAAGAACGAAAACTGTCGTAACCGATCTGAAAACAACAACCAAAGAGAGTTAGAGTTGCCAAACGACAAAGTTTTAAACGGCTTATCTTGTAATTGGCATCACCTTATATTTAAAGGGGCGTTGGCTACTAAATATCTGAACTATTTTAGTTTTATCGTTTGCAGTAAATCATTTTACACCAAAACTAAAAACTAACCTTTATTCAGAAGTTCGAACTTAAGGTTATGATACCCAATGGTTAAATATTGCAAATAAACTTGTGATTCACGATAATAACTTTTGATACAGACAACTTTTGATAAACGATATAAAAACACAATCAATAGAAAATGTTATATACAATTCTTATAAAAATAACAATAATTTTATTATAAAATAATTTATACTCCAATTTTTAAAATTTTACCCCCCTAACCACCTAACTCCCCAAACCTCGATATTTATATTCAATACAAAACCTTTCTCCAAATATTGATATATGAAAATTTAGTCCTTGCGAAAAAGCCTATTTGTATGTAAAGCATGTTTACTTGTAATAATATCTACTTGTAAAAATGTCGTATGAAAAATGTGTTCAGTCTTTCCCAAAACTAATAACTCATAAATAATCAAAATTCTCAAAAACATTACGACACAACCTCTTCATTCGGCGCATAAAACTCGTCTAACACAGTATATATAAATTTATAATGGCATTCTTTTTCTAAGTAAAAAGGACTTCGGCTAAGAAGTGCATTTAAGATTTTCATTATGTTACACTCACCGTGTTTGCTAATTTCATAAATGATCTGTATAACAGCAATAATGCTGCCTGTTCTTCCAAAACCGTCATCACAATGAACAACAATAGTTTCGCCTTCTTGATAATTCATCAACTTTAAAGCATTTATAATACCAACTCTATTATAATCATTAATTTTAAAAAACTTTACTTGGTAATGATTAACTATAAATACTTCGTTGTCAGCAGTTTTAATGGTAAAACATCTTCGTATTAGACATTGGTTTAAGATGGTCTTGCTTTTAAGTTCAATTGTAAATGTACCATAATCGAATGCTTTTTGTTTGTTTGGATAATACTTTATGTAAATGTTATCATTTTCTTTTAATTCGTTTAGCATAAGAATAGTTTTTACGTTTTTGCACAAAATCATTAACCAAAAGTCTTTAATCGTACTTTCTAATGGCGATTGAGTGGAAATGATCCAGTCATTGACATTAGTAGCGTTTATGTAAGTTTCGTCAAGAGTCAATCCAGTAATTAATAATTGAACACGATATTCATCTAGAGGAAGTTTATCTGAATATCGGTTTTTTAGTTCATGCACAGGCTTGTTTGCAACTGTGATTGGTAAATCGAGCTGACGATTAAGCAATTTAAAGTATTTGGTAAACCCGTCCTCACCGGTAACAGGGTCGACTTTTTTTAAATTTTGATACGTTTTGTGAACATTTTCTTTACTGACTTTAAAACTATATTTATCGATGTAGTACAAAATGACATCATGAATAAATTCATATTGCTCGAAAGTTTCAACAGATTGGGGTCGACAAGACCGAAGATAGTTGACAAAATTAAAAACATCAATTGTTAAACTGGATCCTAAATTTTCTAACAACGCATCAATAGTAATAAAAGTACCACTACGACCAACACCTGCACTGTATTAAAAAACTGTATTAAAAAACGCATGTTTTTTAATACAGTAAAAAACTGTATTAAAAAACGCATGTTAGAAAATGTATATATATTAACGTTAATAAAAAAATTATTTAATTAATTGAAAGTAAATATATATATTTTGTTCTTTTTATTACATTTTAAATAAGCATTTCGTTACAATATTTAAAATACAAATATATAATAAAAATATATAATGATCGTTATTAAAAAATAAAAAAACGCGAGGACGTTTTTTTTATTTTTTAATAACGACCATACGGTCTTGCCGTCGGGTACCGCTTAGAAATGTTCGTGTTAAAATTTATAAGATACTTACAAGATAAAAAATAAGTTAACGAAGTAAGAAATTTAAAATATTTCGTAATAAACACAAGATGCTTTATATCTATTATATATATGTAGATTACAATTGTTAATGATACATATATAATTTTGATAAATTTATGTTTAAATAGAGGGTAAAAAGGAAGATCAATAAAAATATCAGTATATTGTTAAATTTTTAATTGTAAAAATTTTTTAAGCTTTAATTTGAAAGAAGAATAGTTTGATAAACAAAATCCTCAGTTTTTAAACTGAATAAATTCCTCAGTAAAATTTTTTAAACTATTTTATTCCATAAGAATGGTCCGCGATAATCAGTACAAAATTTAAAAAGATTTGTTTGAAAAATTGTCATTGCGTAAAATGTATTTATTTTTATCTTTTGATGACTATAAATTATAGAATATATATATATATATATATATATATATATATATATATATATATATATACATATATACATATATATATATATATATATATATATATATATATATATATATATATATATATATATATATATATATATATATATATATATATATATATATATATATATATACACAAATATATATATATATATATATATATATATATATATATATATATATATATACACAAATATATATATATATATATATATATATATATATATATATATATATATATATATATATATATATATATATATATATATATATATATTTAAAATGTGATATTTCGGCTCATATACACACTCGCGGAAAGTGTGGAGTTTTCCTCCACACCGATGTGTAGCTATCACTCTTAGACCCAAATGTGGAGTTATTTTGCACACTTTGTGTAAATAACTCCAAACTTCTTTGCAGAAGTCGAGTTAGAAAAAGTTATTTTTCACAAAAGTGTGCAAAATAACTCCACACGTGTCTAGGAGTGATAGCTCCTACCGGAGGAAGACTCCACACTTTCGGCGAACGTGTAGTTGGAGCCATTTTTAAACATTTTGAGTTTGAAAATGGCTCCAACTATATGAGCCAAAATATCACATTTAAAATTAAAAAATTTTAATAAGTTAAATTTAAATTGTGTACTGATTATCGCGGACCATTCTTATGGAATAAATAGCTTAAAAATTTTTACTGAGGAATTTATTCATCAAAGTAACTACTTTTAAATGAAAGCTTTAAGAGCACATTTTTCCAATCGAAGATTAAACAATATACTGATATTTTTTAGAGATCTTCCTTTTTACCCTCTAAATAGTGTCACCGTAAATGATGTATTTTCAATTTTTTATATAAATAAACAGATATCATTAATATATATATATATATATATATATATATATATATATATATATATATATATATATATATATATATATATATATATTTATATATATATATATATATTTATATATATATATATATATATATATATATATATATATATATATATATATATATATATATATATATATATATATATATATATATATATATATATATATATATATATATATATATATATATTTATATATATATATATATACATATTTTTATATATATATATATATATATATATATATATATATTTTTATATATATATATATATATATATATATATAAATATATATATATATATATATATATATATATATATATATATATATATATATATATATATATATTAGGGAGTTTAGTCACGTGACATTTTATTGCGGAAAAAAAACGCAGTTTGTTTTTTGAAAAATTTCGTCCAAAAAATGCATGAAACGATTTTAGGTAGGTGTCGAAAAATGAAAACCCACCCGTAAAAACTACAAATTTAAATACATGTTTTGGTATCGTTTTTTTTCAGAATGAATGTAGAACATTTATTTAAGTGAAGACGACATTCTACTTTTGAATTGAAAAAGTTTTTTACATTTAAACGATTCAACTTTGTTAAAATACCAGTTAAATTAGATAATTTATCCGTCTTCACACGAAAGTAGGTTCTGCAACTATTTATTAATAATATGTATGTATTTTTAATTTTTTTTCTAATGGTTAATTAGGGTGGGTTTTTTGTTTTTCAACTGGTGAATTGTAAAATTGCCCCCGTTTTACTAACGTTAAATAGCGCACTCAAAGATATGCGCGTTAGACTATTTTTTTATGTGGAAAAAAAATGTGCAAGTAGATGGTCTTTACTTGTATAAAAATATAGATATAGAATAATTAGGGTAATATATCTAGTTTTAATTGTTGTATAGGTTTTTTTATTAACTATATTCAAAAGAATGATTACTGAAATAATTTTTTTTTCAGTTTTATAGTATTATTATTTACTTACCGAAAAGTAATAATGATAATAATTGTTATTATTATTATGATGATCATGTTGATAATGATGATGATGATGATGATGATGATGATGATGATGATGATCAGCCTGTTTACAGCTATTTAAAATCATTGTAAAAATAGTACATAACACTTTATGTCTTTTTTTAAAAACATCCTTTTTCTTTTAGAAGCTTCACGACTTGATTCTTGAATCCCTTCATGTCAAGAGATTTAAATTCATTTGGCAATTTGTTGTAAAACTTTATCCCATTGCAAAAGATTGGCTTGTTCTGGTTTTTAAGTGATAATTATTTGCATATCTTATAAAATAATCTTGTACTTCATTGTTTTTTATACAAAATCCTTGAAACTATCAATGAGTGTCTTTCAATGAAAGACACTCATTGAAAAGTAGTTACATAGTATTGTGTTACATTTTTGTAGTTACATAGTATTATGTACAAATGTAAATACTTTCATTTTAAATTCAACTAAATCATCGGGAAATTTGTCAGTAAGTTTTATCATTTTGTAAGTTACACTGTAAATTGCATATATAACATTGTGTATTTTATTTAAAAAGTATTTATATTGTTTTGATATATAAACAACTAAACTGTTATTAAATTTTGAAAATTAGAATGTAATTGTATTACATAATTTACATTAACTGTTTAAAATTTATAAATTTAAAACTGTTATGTAATTAACTGTTTTAAATTTATATATTTATTTGGCTTGACTTCTGGAAAATTGTATATTTATTCAGATAAAATGCTTAATAAAGAAATTTATTATTGGATTTTAAACATTGAAAGATATCTCATACAATGCTGTATATTCTATATTATATGTGTAATGTTCAACTGCTTTGCTGTAAAAAATCATTAGCTATAAAGATAACTCAACTAGTTGATAACATCAGAAAGTTAAAGAAGCATTGCAAAAGTAGCAAGTTGGTATTGTAATTTTAAAAACCAAATGCAAATATTCAAACTTTCTAGGCTTCCACAATTTGGTCTCAGAATCAAACATAAGAATGACTAAATAGTAAAACTGATGAAGTAAGAAAAGAATTACTCAATTGTTCAAAAACCAATGATAAAAAACAAACATGGTTAAAAAAAAGCAGTTCTCAAAAAGGATAAAGCTATGTGTCTTAAGCAAAGTATAAAGAAAAAGATAGAGAAAAAATTTAACTATACCAAAAAAAAAAAAAAAGCTTTTAATAACTTAATAAGTTTAAATATAAAAGCATGGATTTCATTGGAAAAAGCTGTAGAAAAGTTTGTAATATAGAAGAACCTTAAAAATTAAAAGTACTTCTTGCTCAACTTAATTTTTATTTTGTCATCGCCGGTATGGAAGGTGACAAAAAAACTTTTTTTAAAACAAAGTTAGAAGAACCAAAAGAAGAAATTTGACTTCTTACTACTCTTACTACTGTCTTTTGAGCAAATTTAATGCCAAACAATCTTTAAGTAATTTGAGTAATAATTTTAAACCTATTTACGTTATGTGGCTGTTAAAAACAAACAAAAAAGAATTGATGGCAAAAATTCAGGATACAAGACTAAACAAATTAATAAAGTGACCAAAAAAAAACATTCCTTATCAAAAAAATTTTAATAATCCATCTGATTTTGTAGGTATTATTTTCAACATTGTGTTAGCAAAAAAAATTGTCTTAAGGAATCTTTGGAATGTGCACAAGTAGTACAAACTGATCAAATAAGTGGAAACGAACCACATTCTATGTTAAGTATGATAATGAACCTGGTGAACTATGATCATTTCTTTTATTAATTGATTTTGAAAAAAGTAATCATATTCTTTGAAGCGAGGATCATGAGGTTTTTTTTATTTAATATAATTTTATGTTATAATTTAAACTTAAATTATTTCCTTTATAAGTAAAATCAATAAAAAATTTGTTTTAATAATCTGTTTTTACTGCATTTCAGTGATTTTTATCTTTTTCAATGGTATTAATTATATTTTATGTGTTTACATGTACCCATTTTGTTAAAGGATATTTTTATTTTACTTATCAATATTTTTTATCTTTATGGGTTATGCTAAACTACATGTTATTATAATTTATAAAAAAAAATTAAAATATAAAAAGAAAAGAATCCAGAAACGAAGAGCTATCCCTAGGCTAAGTTACTATTACTTTTCATTAACTGCCTATAGAGTAAAGTAAAGAATCCAGAAATGGGTTAACTTTAGGCAACATGACAGCTTACAAATGGAGTGCAAAGTCCTATGGCTTACCTTCTCGTTGGTGCACTTCGTTAAGTAAGTTAGACGAGTCTTAACATCTAACTTATGAACGAAATAGC